TTTCATCCATAATAATACAAACAGGTTTAGCATTAAAAATTATTTTTAATGCATCCACATGTTTATTAAAAACTCTGAATAAGTATAATTAGCGTAAAGTTGATGCTTAAGGAATTGCTTCTTTCTCTTTAAGGTATTTTTTAAAAAAAGTAAGTAAGAGGTTCACTTTTTCTAATGGAATGTTAACATTAGCAAATGTTTCTATTAAATCTATTACTTCTTTTTCTGATTCTGAGGCAAGTAAGGATGATTGTAATGTTTATTAACTTTTTGTCTTTTCTTTTGTTTCAAAATTTTTTTTTTGTAAAATATGTTTTTTACTTGCACAATGTGTATCAATTGTTGATTTATGCTTCCATTCTATTAAAAGATTGCAATAATTACAAAAAAGTAAACCATCATCAACGTGAAATACTTCTTTATATTCAGCAACTTGTGTATAATCTATAATAGAACTGTCTTTTCATCTAGACGCCATTTTAATGAAGTTCGTCTATGATATTTATGATTTTTCTACTTATAGTTTAGTAGATTTACATTGTTAAAAGATTATCTATACTGTGAGTTATGTGTCTTATTTATGCATACGATAGGAAATTTTGTGATTATCACAAAATTTTGTGGCATTTATGATATTTTATGAAATACTATAAATCATTGTCTTAATAAGCACTTTTATTATGCGTTATTTTTCTGAAAGTTCTAGTAAATAATTTATCTCATGAATTAATGATTTGAGAGGTTGATCATAATGCTAGAATTAGTGTTTCAGGCGAAACTATTTTTCAACATCTGAAACGTTTTGCCTAGAGAATTTTTCTATGATCTGAAACTATCTAAAACCTCCAAAACCCTAAATTTGGAAAGATTTTTGCAGATCAAATTGGCAAAACTAGTTTCGTCTAAAACACTAGCTAGAATAAAACGAAAATGAAAATTGAAGGTAATAGATCGACTCAATTGCTACAGAAATTTTTTATGTAATCCCTAATTAATATTCCATTTTTGATGAGTTTATTGGATTTGTTATATTAACAAAATTTTCTTAGATCCACTACAAATCATATAAAAAGAATGCGAGATAGTTAATGAACCCTTTGATCTGATGCAAATACAATCAAAAATTAAGTAACTAATAAAATTAATCAAACTTACCAATATTTACATATTAATATTCTTGATCAAACGAATTCATAAATTTTGTGAAGTAATAATAAGGCAGGATAGTTTATCATTCAGCTAGTTTTTTGAAACATGTCATCATGATGTTAATCGATTTTTCTGCCTCTACAGATGTCCCAAAATAAACTGGACATATTACTCTTCTTATTATACAGTCACCGGTGAAAAAAATGGTGGTAGATATATCACATCATATATTTAGTTGCAGCATCACCGTTTTCCAATTTTGGACCATTGTTAATTTTACCAAATCAGATAATGGAATGCTAATTTTAAAAGGTAAGTTATAAAAATTATTTGTTATTCATTTTTTTTAATTTTATCTGCGAAATGATGCCATCTTCTCTTGAAATATAATGAAATTCTGTTAAATTACTTATGCAGTAAACATCTGTAATGCGAAGGAAATTTTTCCTTGAGAATCTTGTTTACGTTTCTATTTTTACAAGAAAAATGATCTGTAATACACCTCTCGAAACATTCAGCATGACTTGAATAATCGTTTTCTAAGGCAGATTCTTTCTAGACTTTTGTACAACCTAGACCTGAATCGTATCAAAAATGTATAGGCTATTTTAAAGAGAAATTTTGAGAGAAAAGTCAAGGATTTGGTGGCAAAAGATAAAAAAAATCTCTCAGTAGATTTTTCTTACCATAATCTGACAGCAATGGGATGATTTCGATAATAGTATTACTTTAGTGCATCAAAAGCATGCCAAACTGGGTTTAAGTATGCATTGATGCAGGAGGTTATACAAAATATTAATTATATAATAAAAATTGTTGTGTTAGTATTACTCTTTAAATAATAAAAAAAACAATTGCAATTAATAATAAAAAATTTATATACCTTCAAAAATGTATCTGCCATTCTTTTCGCCAGAGACTGTATCATCATTTTGATCTTCACTGAGAAAATCACTGACCATCATCATCCGTATAATAGACAGTAAAATTAATTACTTACCTGACATGCAACGGCACAGCAAAAAGTAATTTTTCTGACATAAGCATCTTCACGTGTCAAACTCTCGTTCTGACGATAACACATGAAAAATTAAGCAATCAATTTCTTGTATATGCAGTGGAATAGAATATTGTGAAAATGAACTATATCAGTAAGTGTGAATTGGAAGAATTATTTTTTTTTGTTTGCCTCAGTTGCTAACCTTTCAGATTTACGCTGTAGTTTTGAAATTACTTGACCTTGTAGAAGTTCTCTTATGGGAAATAATCTTTACATAGTTAGTGCGAGTGATAGTATTATAAGTAGACAGAAATCCTGTAGATATGGGTGTAATAATTTATTTCTGAAACCTAATGTAGAAAAAGAGTATTGTTATGAGTATCTCATAATTAGCAATAGGCATAGAAATAAATTAGCTGTAAAAAATTTATTGAGAGCAAAAAAATAACTTGATGCTGGGACTCGCATTAAGTGACCTAGTATCTACGTATCCCTCCTTCTTTGTTAGCATCATATTATTTCTACCATTTGTCACCTTGTTACTTTTCTATTATTAATATTTTAGTTTGAATTTAAAAGGTCATAAATTGTATCAAGTAATATTTTTTTCATTGGTGTTACAATATAATTTTTTTTTAAGCTACAAAGCAAATTTATGCGAGTTTAAAAGAGCATATGTGAGGAACTCTGGGTCTTATACAAGGATGAAGCGAAGTTCACAAAATACATCAGAAATGTGGGAGATTCTGGGCCTTATAAAAGGACGAAGCAAAGTTCACGAAGTACATCAGAAATGTAGGAAGACTTCGGGTCTAGTAAAAGGATAAAGCGGAGCTCATAAAGCACATCAGAAATGTGGGAAGACTCCGGGTCTTATAAAAGGACAAAGCGAAGCTCACAAAGTACAAGTCTGTCTCTTAAGAATGAAAAAATGTATTATTTTCACCCAGCTCAACTTTGTTTTCCATTTCGGTATGTAATTAAGAAAGTTGAGTTAAAAAGTCTATAAAGATTTACGTGTAGTATTATTTAATGATTATTTGATCATTTAACTATAATTATCATAAAGGGAAATCTTAACCTATTCTAGGGATATTATCACGTTGATCAGTTTTTTTTTTCGCGACTAGTTCATTATAAATGAGTCAATACCTCAGCGATTCTGTGATTTTATTAAAGACTTTGAGTTTGATTATTTAAGAATTCTTCCAGAGAAAGCATGAAAAGATCTAGAAGATGCGTATATTTCTCATCTTAATAATATAGCAGAATAGACAGTCTCGAATGAAACTCGTGAGCTTATAAAAAGGCTTCGGCAAATATAGATGGTATGTTTCTTTGATTTGTTAACTCGTGCTGAATTTAAATAATTAACTCAGTTTCGATTATAAAGTCAATAAAAAATCTTTCTCAAAACAATTTCTTCAACACTTATTTGCAATCTGCGAAAAACTTGCTAAAGTAAGTTGTAATTTGTTGTTGCATTTATTAATGAGAACTTCCTAACGAGTTTATGAATTCGATTGATAATTGTACAGAATCGGGAGTTAAATCTATCCTCAGTTAATATTCACAATATATTATCTAAAAGTGCATTTTTGGGAGGTACTCAATCAATTGAAACCGTCAATGGCAAAATTTTTAATGTTAAAAGAAATCAAGAAGAGGTGCTTATATATATGAACAAGAATGGAAATTTCGCTTCTAGTAATTTTTTTAGCTAGGAAGTTAAGAACTGCGAAACTAATTATTTTAACATTTTAAGTTGAGCAAGACTTATCAAAAAAATGCTAATGTGATAAAAAGCCTCTGCCAAATTCGTCTGTATCTCCAGGTAATTATATGCATTGTATTTTTCTTCGAATTTAAACAAGAAGGTTCACAGCTTACTGTAAAATTATCTTCGTCTATGATTTTTTAGTTGATGAAAGTCTGATTTCTAATGATGCTGATAATGATGAATTGTTGGCGAAAAGCAGTAGTGATATACAAGATGATGAAAATGAATATGTGCAAGTTCCTCTTTCTAAGCTTGATTTTAAAGAATTTACTGAAGAATATCAAAAAATGGATGATACCAAAAAATGGGTGTTGTCTACAAAAAAGATTATGTGAAGATAAACTATATAAATTTGGAACAAAATACCACTATGAACAGTAAGTATTGATTGTTTTAATCAACTTATTAGTCTTTACTTTCATAATATTTAATATTTCAAAAGTCTTTGTCATTCATTCATATGTGATCTAAATGGTGAAACTTTTATCAAAGAAGAAATCTTTACCCTGCTTAAGATTAAAGAAATATGCAACTATAAATCGAAGGCATTACTAACCATACTTGAGATTTGCTTATTTATTTGAATAATTATAATGTAGTATGCTATTGTTCATAAACGAAATGTTCTGACAACTCCTTTTTCTATGTTTGAATAAAACTCAACTTCTGAACTAAGGAACCTCATTTTTAAAACAGAACAATGGAATGATTTATACGATACAGTAAGACACTTTGATTACAACTGGATTAGAAACATACTTTATAATCTGTAGGTATAAAATCTTTTTCAAGTCTGAAAATATACTTGAAATTAATATGCTATCTCATTTATATAGAGTTCGTGAGTTTAAAACAGATAGTTTCATAGATAGAACCAATATAGAAGCATGGTTCATGATACATGTATGGTCTCTTATAGATTGTTATTTTGATAGCATAAAAGGAATGAGGGTGATAAGGTAAAATAAGATGATATATTTTTTTTACTATCTATGGAACTAAATGTTATTATCTAAATTCTGTATTATTAGAATAGGGAAGAATCGAGTAGTCTTGCGTTATCAATTCAAAAAAATAGAAATTGAACTGTTGCATCTGTGAAGTCAATGGAGAAAAAGATCATGGGAAGACAAGGGGATATATTAATATGAAGATTCAACACAGAATATAGTTGTGGCAAAGCTAGCAAGTTGTACGATAGTCTGAACGGAACAAAATTACTTCAAGAGAGGGGATTAAGACACCCAAAATGATGAAAGACCAATTCGATAATTTATGCACTCTTGCAGAATCAAAAGAAAGCAAAATCAGAAGCCTTAAAACCATTGGTTTGATACATGCAGGTATGCTTTGTGTTATATATATTATTAGCCAGTGACTTCTCGACTAATTTTACTAATTCTGTCCACTTCCTTAGGTCTTTTTATGCTTTTGCTCAGATTAGACTTTCTGGCAGGATACATATGCGGAATATCTCGTTCAAAAATGTTGACTGTTTTATCAACCATTAACGAGTTTGGCAAGAAAGTCCTTCCTATGATCGTACTTGCATGGAAAGCAAAAGTTTGTGTCTTATGTGAGCAAACATCATTATTAATAAGTATAATACCAGTGGCAATAAAAAGTATTGCATCACTTTCACATTAAATTTAAAATATAAATTATGAAAGCTAGCATAACAAATTTATATTTGTTTTAAACCCTGAATCTCCAACATTATTTTAAAATAATTTTTTTGCTTAATTTATAGTGTAATTTCGTATAAATTGTTTGATTTACAAAATATTGGATTTTCAACTTTTTATTTAGAATAATGACAATAAAAATGAATACTTAATTTTCGTTCTCTAAGTAATTAAGAGTTTGCATTTCAAACATTGTAAAAATTGAATCATTAGTTATAGAGAAATTGGCTTTTAAAAATCACAAAAATTACTAAAAATTGCTATTTTACATGTGTAATATTGATTTTTATAATTTTTAAAAGCCGATTTCTCTATAACTAATAATCCAGTTTTTACAATGTTTGAAATGCAAACTCTTAATTACTTAGAGAACGAAAATTAAGTATTCATTTTTATTATTATTATTCTAAATAAAAAGTTGAAAATCCAATATTTTGTAAATCAAACAATTTATATGAAATTATACTATGAATTAAGCAAAAAAATTATTTTAAATAATGTTGGAGATTTAGGGTTTAAAACAAATATAAATTTGTTATACTAGCTTTCATAATTTATATTTTAAATTTAATATGAAAGTGATGCAATACTTTTGATCACCATTGTATATATTAATGTCCAAAAATTTTTCTAAATAGAAAATCATCAGCAACTCCATTGAGGTGATGGACAAAAATGACAATAAAGATCCACTTGAGTCTCTTCAAAAATCATGTGAAAATGCATGTCTTTCACCTTCATAACATGAGATTCATTTTCCAATCTGTTTTGATACTCCTAGTAAGAATAAAATGATATAGGTAATAATAAGAAGAGCATTCCAAATAATAAGGATAAAGAACATTAAAAAGGATACCAAAAAGAACATATATTAAAAAATGATTTTTTTAATCAATTAGTTAATAAAATTTAAGGATCAGATAATATTAAACCTTTTTTCTAATTCAAATTTGTCGAAAAACTAATAAATTTCATGCATACTTGCACTTTTCAAAATATCATATTTAGTAAGAAGTATAAATGTATTCAATGATTATTTTATTTTATATTAGTTTAGCTGATACAAGCATTCTTTTTTTTAGTATTCAGCCACTATAATAAATGAATAAAATATTTTTTTTAACATATGTATATATCATATATGCAGTCAAAAGTGATCTGAATTGAAAGAATACTAAAATTTAGGTATTGCATAGTGATCATGTGATTATATTCATGATTGAAAGACCAGAAATAACGTTATTCAATAAGGGGTAAAATAGATTGCACCTATGATGATGTTACTCAAACTAAAAAACTAGAGGAAAGAAGCATAAAATTGAAAGAGGATTATATTAAGCATATAAATATTGATAAAACTTTTGAAAAAATAAGAATTGTTTATATTATTTCAGTTTATATTTTTACGTAAAAATACTGATATATTTTATATATTAAATATAAATTATATTTAAATTTAAATTATTTTATTATAGAATCTGATTAAAAATATAAAAAAAGAGATGTTTACTAAATCAATATATCAACACAAAAAGAATTGTAAAAAAATTATGAAAGAATATATATCAGCAAATCACTCTGTATTTTTTGATAAATTTATCCAAAGCATTAGATGTCTTTTTATGAAAAAATATTTATTATGCTTTAAGTTTGCTTACTTAAATATAAATATGATAAGATTTATATATAATTTTAATGTTTTCAATACTTTTTTTTTACTTTGATTCTAGTAACTCAGTCGTCTAAATATTCTGACTATGGCTCATATGGGTTGATTGCTAGGAAAATCAGGTTCTGGGAATTTTTTAACAAAATTGAGATTTTTATTGCATTTTAGTTTTTGATATTATTAGATTAAAATGTATTAAGTTCTTAATTTAAGTCAAAAATTTCTCGGAACCTGATTTTCCTAGAAACCCTCCCATATATCCAATATGAATTATATATAAAAATAAGCACCTCTTAGCTATATTTAAAGTTAGTCTGAATTGCTGAATATTAGATATCATGATAAGTTATACATCCTGAACATCATATAGCTTACCCTGATACTATCAGTACAATAGATTCTGACTAATTATTGAAAAGAGGAGTCTTTATCAACCTAATTCAGAATAACTATCTAATATAATTAATATGTTCAGACTGTTAAAATCACCCTGAGAATTGAACTTAGGCTTTTTAAACCCTAATTGATTATAAATATTATAGCATTTTAACTAGAAAATACTTGTAACTCTATGACTCTTATTTAATTTAAGTTATATAGCATCTACCATTAACTTATCATAACCTATTATTAGAAATAACCTTCTTACAAATGATACAGTATTTACTTATTATAGGCCAGCCTCCTAACACAAATTTCAAACTCAATCAGTTCTATGTGCATATGATCACTTACATAGTCACACAAATTTATCATATTTTACAAGTTCATGATCTTTGACACATATAGTTTATACGCATCCTATGATATTCATTTTCAGAATTAAACTGGTAAAACTTGCAGTAAATTAATATTATGATCTGCACTTAGCTAGTATTAAATTAAGATTTATTACAGTATTACCTATCAATAAGGGCTTCTGTCTTATAGTAAGAGCCAGGGATGTCAATTCCTTATATTTTCAATACTTATTAATAGCTATTAAAATAACATTAATACCTTCATGATATTTTAATATTACAAATTAAGGATACAATATTTGTAATATTCAGTAAAGTCCAGCTATCACAAATAAATACTAATGCAAGTCTTACAAAGATTCAAAGTTGGAAAAAATCCAAAAAATTAAAGAAATATCAGGTTAAATTATTTACTCTAATAAAGAAAGGTAAACAAACTACTCATCTAACTTATATTTTAGATAAAGTTTAGAAATCTAAAAAGCAAATATCACTTCAAAAAACCTACAACACTACTATATGTAAAATTCTTTTAAATTCTAAAATAGAACATATACAGATTTTTAAAAATGTTATTAAATTGCATATTGTTACTGTGGAATTCTTCAACTTGAGTTGGTCATGTTGTCAAGTCTCTACTTGAAGTTACTAACTGTGACTTATTGCAGTTAAGACGTTAGAATCTGTCTAACTCTTAATGTTATCAACTTTACATGTTAAACTTAGCAAATCTATCAAGTATAAAGACTTAAAAGACAAAATTACAAATAATTTAATTAAAGAATTTAAATGATAAACTCAATTACAAATAATATATAGGGATTACATCAAACTATATAAAGATATGAAGTGGCAGAAAAATATAAGTTTTATATGATTTTTTTATTAATACTGAAATTCATATTCATAAGAGAGTTTTCTAATTTATAAAAGAATTAATTTACAATATAAGCAAAAAGTCTATCTATTTATACAAAATTTCTTTTATCATAGCTAACTATTTACTATGCTTTAAACTAATTAATTTGGTAAATAAAATATAAGTAAAATAAATATATGTAAAATAATAAAAATAATAATAAAAATTAGAATATTAAAAATAAGTATAACACTAAATATTTTTAGACTTCATTTAATTCATAAAATTAGGATTATTATCAGTATTTAAAAGATCTATAAAATTTTATAGATCCTCTGTATTTTCAGAATTTGCAGAATTCTCAGTATTTTTAGATTCTAGTGTAATAGATCTTTATACTGCATTGACCACATGACTTTAGATTGGTTAATTGCTCTATTAACAATATAAATAAAATTTTAATAAGTTTTCTAAACTCAGAAATATGTTAAATAATTAATTAAATGATACTAAAACTTGCAAATAGGCTAAATATTTTAATTATAATTTTATTTGTTTAGACAAATTTGATGATGATGATGATGCTTAAAGCAATACCTCAATCATTTCAACCATAACCTCAAATATCTTTAATATCTTTAATCATATCACTAATAAAAATAATATTCATAAATGTGATAATTAAAGATAGCATCTTAATTAGTTACAACAGGTGACACAATGTTGTAACGAATTGCAATGTTATTAAAATTTAAGTTGTAACAGATGATAAATAAGTATCACAATATTACAACAGCATTTTTAGTGATAATAATAAATCTAATGAAAACAACGACAATTAATATAATGATAAAAATGATGACAAAGAATTAATTCAATAATGTAAGCCATATTAATTTAATATAATTAGTATTTTATTTAATATTATGTTAGTTATATATTACTAAAGATGGCGCTGCAATTAGTTGCAACTATGTGATACTTATTTGTCACTAGTTGCAACTAGTTGTAACTCAATTTTTATTAATGTTGCAACTAGTTGCAATCCTATGATGCTTATTTGTCACTAATTACAACTAATTGCAATGCTATCTTTATGTATTACTGATTTATTTTTACCAAATCTTTCTTTAATATTTTCAAAATATATATCAGTTTTTTTTTTAGTTTATTGGAAGAGAAATAGATTTATTTTTGACTATAATAGAATTAATAGAAAGAAATTAACATTTCTATAATGTAATTAAATACAATAATAAAATCAAAGATTAATTCAATGTAAGTCATATTTATTTAATATAATTAGTATTTTATTTAATATTATGTAAATTATATATTATTGACTTATTTTTATCAAAATCTTCTTTCAACATTTTCAAAATATATATTAGTTTTCTTTTTTCAGTTTTTTTGGAAAAAATAGACTTTTTTGACTATAATAGAACTAACAAAGAGAAATGAACTTTATTAATTCAATATAAGTCATATTTATTTATATAATTAGTATTTTATTTAATATTATAGGCCAGTGCAAAAAGATTTGTACCTCAGATATTACATTGATAAAAAATTTTTATTATGTAAATTTTTTTTTAATTTAAATATTATCACTATATATTGGAAAAGATATAATATAAAAATTACGTTATATCATGTGATCATTATTAGAACTATTATAAGCGTCAAATTCTTCATTCATTAATTGTAAATTCTCATTAGACTCAAAATATTCTTTAGTATTTTAAATGCTCTTCTCCAAAGTCCAACAATGACTTTTGAAGAAATTTATTCTTTAAATGCATTTAATAGTATATTTCTAACAGATAAAAGGTTTAAATGTGAATCTGATCATGTAATTTCACCCTTCACAACTGACCAAACACCTTCAATAGATTGCAATTTACAATGATAAGGAGGGATAAAATTAACTTCATGTTCATATTATTCTGCAATCTTAATACACGAAAATGAAACCTTTTTTTTGTTTATTTAAATTAGTTTCAAAAGTTCTGGTTTTTTTAACTCATCTGAAAAAGCAATATTATATGCATTTAACCAATCAATAATTTCTTGCTTTTTTGCATTTAAAGTTGAAATACTTTCAACCTGTTATTTATGATAGCTACCCCATTTATATGAATATATATAGATCTATATTTTTCATGAAAGGTTTTGCAAAGAGTTGTAAAAAGGTTCTCAAAAATTTCTGCAGTAAAATTTTCATGAAAATTTACTTGGTTAAAATGATATTTGCTTCTTTAATAATATTAAAAATGTCATTTCATTCTTTAGCATTATTCCTTTTTCTTCTTCTATTACTTGAAGGTTTAATTATTAGATCCTAAATATGAATAGAATTAGAAACAAGTTCACCATTTAGCTTATTGGAAGATTCATTTCAAAATATAATAATTACTTCAAAAATTATCACCAATGGACTATGTCCAGGTGCTAAAACAATACTATGATGAAGAACCATGTATTACGAGCATTATGATATAAGTGGTAGTATGATTCATCAAGAAAAACTTCTGGATGATGTAGAATATCATTTTAGCCTTCTAAATTAGCAAAATGAAAATGAAGATAATGATTACAAAATGTAATATTATTTGGTGATTCATAGAGAAGATTTCTATGTTCTCTCTGACTATAATAAAAGCCTAATCAATATAGTATTTGAAAAAGCTTCCATTTAGAAAAGTCATATTTTTTTTAGCAAAAAACTGTTGTAAGATATATGTAGAAAGTTGTTCAGCCGTTTTGTTAGAATTTAAAACTTTCATATGCAAAATTTCTGAAATATTTTTATCAGATTGCAATTTAGATCAACTAAGGATTTTATGCAGTGTAAAAACATTATCACCACGCTTATTCCAATCTGCCACAATTACTTCAACTATACTTTCTGATATATTTAATGCATCAAAAACCCGCTTATAATGTAGTCTTTTAATAGTTCTCTATTTTAAAGTTAACCCCAAAAAAATAATTGTAAATAGAGATTACTATTGACTTTTCATTATCAGTTAATGGTGTATTACTTCATTTCATGGAAAAACTATGGGTAATAAAACAAAAAAACTATAATAAAAATTGTTTATTCAAAGCTGTTCTAATATATATATTTTTAGCCCATTTTATTTTAACCATATGATATTTTTCTTGACATAAATTCTTTTCTTTTTAAGTGAAATACGAATTTTTTTGCACTGACCCATATATAAGTTTATGTATTACTGATTTATTTTTACTAAAATCTTCCTTTAATATTTTCAAAATGTATATTAGTTTTCTTTTTTTTAGTTTTTTGACTATAGACATTTTTTTTTTCTCAGCTTTTGACTATAATAAAATTAATGGAGAAAAATGAATATTTTCAAAATACAATTAAATGCAATAATAAAATCAAAGAATTAACCTAATAATGTAGTCATATTTATTTAATATAATTATTATTTCATTTAATGTTAGTAAATTTATGTATTACTGATTTATTTTTACCAAAATTTTTTTTTACTTAAACATTTTCAAATGTGATAATAGTGTTAATTAATAGTGAGAATATTAATAATAAAATTTATAAAATTAAAAATTTATCTGTTATAAACCTTTAAAGTATTACGCATTATAAACTTTGAAGAATTACTCTTTATAAATTATTAAAATATTACATATTGTATATCTTTAAAATATTATGTACTGTAAACTTTCAAATTATTATGTATTATAAAAATATCAAAGTACTACATATTGTAAATATACAAATTACTATAATATAATTATATTACATATTGTAAATCTTTAAAGTATTATGTATTATAAACTTTTAAATATTATGCATTGTAAAATATTGAAGTACTACATGTTATAAACATACAAATTATTATGATATTATTATATATTACACATCATAAACCTTCAAAATATTACATATCATAAACTTATGAATTATTATATATTATAAAAATATTGAAGTTCTATAATACATAATTTTTTAATAGTCTCGTTATTTTACATAAGATTACGAAGCATAGGATTTATGTAATACTTTGCATTATTAATTTATTAATGTAGATTCTAATAAAAAAGCATATTTTAGTAATATATAATGAGTCTGTATTTTAAATGGAAAAAAAACATATTAGGATCTTAAAAGATCATACTCTTTTAAAAAAAAAAATAGATTAAGTCTTCATATTAGTAATTTTTTAACTGAAATTAATGATTATTTAAAATATAAAGATAATAAAGCATATGTTATTGCAATAATTGTAATAGATAGTGAAAAAATGAAGATTTAGTTAAACAGATACATATTTAATTAATTTAATTTATTTCTTTTTTGAAATTTACTTACCATTATAATTATTATATCAATAGATTATAGAAAAGTAATTCCTATTTTTGAGCAAAAATATCCAAATGCTATAGGTATATTTGCATTTGATAATGTTACAAATCATGCTACTTATACTTTTAATACTTTAATATAAACCTTTATTTAAGTAATAAATGAAAATTAAATGGATTTAAATTTAATGGAAGAATTTAATCAATGCATCTTTCAGATAAATGTCTAAAAGGTATTAAATTAGTTTTAGAAGAAAGAGAATTATGGGAAGATAGACTTAAAAGAATTTGTTTTGAATATAAGACTCATTTATCAATAAAAGATGATTGTTATGCTATCTCTTCAACTTGATTTTGCTATACAAAAATCTTTAATTCAAGAAATTATTGAAAGTTGAGGTTATAAAATAATTTTTTATCCAAAATTTGAACTAAACTTTATTGAACAATTTTGGGATGTAGCAAAACATTATACATGAAATAACTGTGATTATATAGTTTTTGATACTTTAAATTCAATATCATTAATACAAATTCGCAAATATGCTAGACGGAGTTGAAGATTTATGTATGCATATAGATAAGGATTAAAGAATAGAGAAGCTTTATGTAGTTAAAAAAATATAAATATCTCATAGACGTATTCCAAATAATGTAATTAATCTATAAATTGAATAAAGTGCAATGTTAAAATCATGTGATTAATACGAATCACGTGACATATAGATTGTATACACCGTATAAAAAAAAAAATTTACAAAAAATCAAGTAAATTCGTCAAAATTACCTTAAAAATTTAATAATTTACAACTCATATGTGACACAACCACAATCATACAAATCTTGTGATCGCCGGTGGGTACTGAAAAAATGGCTAGTTATAATATAATGTTTTCTTTATAAATAGATATGGAATATTTATTTTACTATAAATAAAGATCGCTTGTCTGTTAATATTGAAATTTGCCCGTAAAGTAAAAGTATTAATTTTTTAAAATTAAAGAAATTTTTTTTTCACATTTTTTGATCTAGATAATAGATAGAATACCCTCAATTTTTTTTTGTAATTTTCTTTTAGAAATAAAGTGCCGCAATTAAATATAGATACCACTTAAAGTTGAGTAATAAGTATCGCAAAATAATGTATCGCAATTAAAAATGTAACCGCAAGCACGTGCCTAAATTTTTCGCATATGGTCTAAAATTAAGGCTAGTACGAATATTTCAATTTTGCTATTTCGGTAGGCCTAAATGTTCTAAAAATTTCCGATAATTTCGAAAATTTAATTTTTAATTACGCATACATGTATGCATCAAACCAAGGTCATAGAAGAAAGTCACAATCAGATAGTAGACGAAACAGTAACGGAGTTCAAGGTTCCGAAAGTGGTGGATCCGGTAGTGACAATAATGTTACTGATGACATCGTCAAAGTTACTGCTTCATTAGACAATATTAATATATGTGATAATGAAAATGAATCCAAGTCCGCCGCTCAATCTACTACTAATAATGACGCCTTGTCGACAGGCTCTCAGGGACAACAGGAGGTTGAGGAGTGGGAAAAGAGTGCAGATGGCGAGGTAAAGATTAACAATGCTGTCAATAGTCCTGGCGCTAGTCCTGTAGATGGAAATACGAATCCATTTGATTGGTCAGCTAACAAACAAAAGGAAGGTCAAAGGAACGATAATGCTCCCAAAAATGAAAATAGAGGAGCCTTTAAAAAAGGACATAAGAAAAGCAAGAGTAGTAAAATTGAATTCAATTTTGATCCAGGTATAAAATTTACTTTGAATTAAAATAAAATTCTTAGTCACATAATTAACTATATATTAATTTATAATAATTTCTCATAGATGCATTTGAGGGGTCAACTCGGATTCTTGATATCTTTGATTTTCCCGCATCTTTCAAGACTCATCATCTCCACGAAATTTTTCAAGAATATGAAAGTATGCGTGGAGGCTATCGCATCAAGTGGATGGATGATACTCGTGCTTTAATCATCTTTGAACATCCAGTTACAGGTAAAGACATTTTTATGATATCATTTGTACGAATCTTTATTTATTTATATATATATATATACATATATTTATTTTTTTTTTTTTTTTTAGCTCGGAAAGCATATCTAGATAATGTTACAAATCAATTAGCTTCAATCAAACCGTACGACGGCCCCACAGATTTTCTTCAAAAAAGTCAGTTTTACGGTTAATTTATGACTTTTTTTTTTAAAAAAAAATAAGGGAAAACTTAATTAATTGTATTTATATAATTTTATAAAGACCCCAATAATGCTCAACCTCGAGCACGTCCTGCTACTACTGACATGGTCGCTAAGCGTCTTGTTCATGGAGCTTTGGGTGTACGTACTATTAGGTCACCTGAACAGCGTCAAGCAGAAAATCAAATTCTTCGGAATGCTAGAGGTAAAAGAATAATTTCAATTTTATTGCTATAATCAAAAAAAACAAATTTTTTTTTAAATTTATGTAATTCTTTTTTATTGTCAGATCAAAAAGACCAACAAAAGCGCAATGAGACTAGACGTTCTCAAGATGTGGACGCGGCCTTCAATGAATAATTTATGGCTACTTTTCAATTTAATGTTCCATTTATGTACTTTGACTAATATGTGTTTCGTAATTCAATTCCGTATTGAAATTCCACTTGGGATTTTCAAAATAAATGAGGGGGGTTATTTTGTTATATATGGTGCAATCATTTATATTTGTTTGTGACGACAAAAATTTTATTTCCATTTAAGTCTACCATCACAATTCTCATTTATTTATTTATTATTATAATTTTGCATTACCTCCTTCATATGTCCTTTTCTTTTCCATATACATTCCCTTTTTCTTTCTCTTTCCCTTCCCTTTCTTTTGCCCTTTGACTCTTCTTTGTATAATACATTTGACGATATCTTTCAAATCCTTCCTGAAACTTCCTTGGCACTTTTTTGTTAAAAACGATTTCACCTCCACTTGCGTTAAAATGCATGTTAAATTGTCTTAATACGCGATTACATTGTGGAACAAATCTAATGTGGAAATTTTTTTTTTTGAGTTGGATTGATATTTTACTATAAATAGAAAAAATTTAAGAGATTTCAATTATAAACGTACCTTGTGGCCACTCTGACCTTTTCTGCGTAAATATTTTTCATAAAAAACATTACCAAAATAGTCGCGGCAATAAAGAGCATTAATTTACAGAAAAATTGAAAAGTTGGATGCTAAAATATCCCAAGGATGAATTTTTTTTTTAAAAAAAAAATTACATTAAAAGTGTATATTATATTTTGAAGTCAACTGACCCCCCATTCTCTCAATTCATAAAAGAGTTTTATAATGATAAAAACTTACTTTATTTTCATAGACAAAGACTGCATAAATTAAGATCGGAAGTGACAGACAAATTAACCCTAAAAATGCTTAAATATTATGAAAATATAAATAAATAAATAAATGCATTATTTACAATATTAACAACATAATAAAAATATAAATAAACATTATTACAACATTAATTATTTTAATAATAACTCATTAAGTCACCTTCATATTTGTAACTTCTTCTCTGTAATTGATGTAAATTCTGTTTAAGTCTTTCCTCAAATATTAAAAGATCTTTAAATCTTTGATGATTATTCGATGGTGGAATTGTTGAGGAAGAATTGCTGAAATTTACTGAATCAGTGAGCGTGGAAGGTATCATAAGCTTGGGACTATTCTCTGTAGAAGTTATGGGTGAATCGAAAGACGAAGAGGGAGAGGAATTTATTGAAGTAAAATTTCGCGATCTTGTATACATTCTTCTTAGGTGTAATAATAAAGGTTATAATAAGTATTCAAATTTAAATACTTAAAAAAAAAGCGCGGTTTATTAAATATCGAACTTTATTTATCGCAAATTAATACTTTTGATAAATTTCCTAGTCATGTGTTCACTAATTTATCATTGGCCGAAATTATATATAAAAACGATCTGTTAAAAAAAAATTGATTTCTTATAAAATAAAGTATGGAAAAATTGAAAAGGAATTAAATAATGTAAAGAGAAGCATAGTATAGAAAAGCGGAGAAGTTTATGGAGAAGAAGGTTTAAAGAATTCTAGGGTTGGAAAATTTAAAAGAAGAAGAGAATAAGTTAAAAAAAAGGTTGGAAAATAAATAAGAACAGATGAAATATTTATAAAAAAGTATTACTTGAAAAGTAATGAATAAAATTGCATAAAAAAAAATAATATATAGAATTATTTTATTTGTTATATAATTTATAACTTTAACTGACTGTTATTTTTTTTTATTGGTTATTACTAATTTAATTTTTTTAAAAAAATATTCAATCTTATTTATCTATTTAACTTCTTATATAATTTAAATATTAGAAAAAGAGATGTATAATAAGAAAAAACATGCAAATAAATATTATCCCTTAAATGGTAAAAAATTGTAGGCAATTTTGCTTGCAATTTTAATCAGTTTTTATTAAATTTTAACTTAAAATTTTATTAATTAACTTATGATTTTTATTTAAAATACAATAAAATTTGATTAAAATTATTTTATTAAGGTAAAACTTTTTGTATTATTAAAAATATATAAATTTTATATACTTATTTTAGTATTATAAAAATTATATATAATATATATTTTATCTTACTCTATATTATATTTAAATTTTTATTAAAGTATTACTGGATAACACTCTTATAAGAGTGTTATCCAGTTGCGTTATAATGTTATCTAGATATGAGTATAATGTTATCCAGTTTCGTTATAATGTTACCTAGTTACGAGTATAATGCTACCTAGTTACCGTTTTTTAGTATTCTGTGGCCTTTTTATTGCCTTGTAGCTATCCGCTTATTTTTATTGCTTTGTGGCCTTTTTATTGCCTTGTAGATATCTGATTGGTATTGACCTCCTACGTCTGAATGGATGTCAAATTCTATTTTGGAGGTTGTTGGCCTTCCGTAAGTGTTTGGATACCTGGTTGTATGTCGAGGG